GCAAATTCTGCCCTGCCCTGCTTTCCAAATCCTCCGTTATCTGCTTTCCTGTCTTCTCCTAAACTCCCACTCTGTCAATGTGCTCAGCAAACACAGGCTAACGGAAACTGCCAAAATGTTCCCTGCTATTCACTAAACATGGCTGAAACATGGAACAGGAATCTGCCTGCGTTTCTGCTTGCTCCTCACCTGGGGAGCTAGCCGGAACCTCTGCTCCCAGAGCTCCTCAGGCAGCTCTGAGAACATTCCTAGGCCCAAAGAGTCAACCAACCCAGAGAGTGAAAGGCCCAGAGAGTCAGGCAGCCTCTGGACCAAGTGGATAAATTCTGGCCTGGTTCTCCACACAGGAGATGTTTTCAGCCTTTCCATATTTTCAAATTTTTGGACTTATATCCTCACTCAGGACAAAAGAGTTTTGCTTTGTTCTGTTCAAAACAACTTCAAATTTTTCACAATGAAGGAAGACTATTTATTAGCCACAGCTGATAGTCATTTGTGCTGTCGGCGAGCCAGGACACTGCTTCATCACCACTCTCCCACCACCACACACACACACACATCACTAGAAGTCTCAGGATTGTCAATAAGACACAGAAAACATCACAATGATGTAGAAAAGGTGTCCTACAACCTTTATGCAGAGTCATACCTCAGCCCTGCCCTGCAGCCCCCTGCTATTCCAGTCTGGGGCTCCCCACATAGCCCTGCCAGTGCCCCTCAGCCCTGCCCTGCAGATCTCTGCTATTCCAGCCCTGGGCTCCCCTCACAGCCCTGCCAGTGCCCCCCAGTCCTGCCCCCCTGTTTATAGATTCCAAGGCCAGAAGAGACCATTGTGATCATCTGCTTTGATCTCATGTCTAACACAAGCTGAAAACATTTATTTTTGAAATGTGTTTAAAATGACAATCTTGAGTTGAAATTGCTCCTGATGGAGACTCAGCATGACCACTAATAAGTTGTTACAATTGTTAATAATGTGCATCTTTTTTTAGTCTATATTTGTCTAGCTTCATTTTGTAGCTAGTGGATCTTAATAAGTCCATTATCAAATATTTGTTTCCTGTGAACAAACTGAGATCAAGTCATCCTTTAACTTTCTCTTTTTAGACACAAGGAACTCAGATGATTTATCTGAATGCTAAGTCATGTTTTTTAACCCTTTAATCATTCTCAGAGCTCTTCTCTGGACTCTCTGCAGTTTATAAACCCGGTATTTGAATTGTAGCAACCAGAGCAGGATACTGTACTGCAGCTAATACCAAAAGCTTTCTTGGATTCCCACCATAGCCTTACCAATGCCTATCATCCTTCCTTGCAGCCCCACCCCACAACACTGGACTCTCTTAGGACCATTATTTCACAGAGTCTTCTTGATCCCCAAATTCTCGCCCATTATGAATTGACAGCTGCATCATTAAAACATTTCCTTTGCATATAAAGGTAGAGTCAATATGAACAGGACTGAGTCGGGGAGGGGGAATCTCAACTTGTTGTCCTGTTTGACAGAGTCCTCAGAGTCCTTGTTCCAAGGACTATTAAACCACTAATTCTTCACATGTTTCCACCTCACTCCTTGGTCAAGACCCACAGTGAGATGAAGGCTGACTTATCAGCCACTGGCAATTGCATAACCTTAGCACATGTTTGTTTTTTCCAACTGTTTGTACTGAAAACAACTAAAGCTGGGACTGTGTGGGTTGGGGATTATCGCTGAGTGACATTTTTTGTACAAAATTCTCTTCTGAAGCCAATAAATGCATGCACATTGGGCAACAGCAAATTTTGGTGCATTTTGGGAGGAGGAGGCTGAGAGAGGAGCTTAAAACAAATTCCTCCCCAAAAAAGAAAATGTTGTTTTGAAATTTTCAAATAAAATGTCAGGGGTTGTAGATTTTTTGTTGCTGTGGTTTTTTTTTCTTTGGTTATTTTTTTTGGGGGGGGGGGGGGTCCTTTCAAAATTTACTTCAATTTTTATTTTTTAAAATACTCAAAACATAAAAAACACTCAAAATAAAAAGGAAATATTTTCTTTCAGACTGAATGAAATGTTTCAGTTGAGACCATTTTTTTACTCTATCACTCTATTAACTGTTTAGAAAACTTTTAGTATTGGTTTGATCCATATCAATTTGAAAAAATAAAATAAAATTGTCAGGGAATGGAAACATTTCTTCTCCCAGATCTACTGGGGAACTTCCTCCAACTGAGGCTTTCCCAATATCTCAGGATATTCATTCCATGGAAGCATGGCAGGGGATGCCCAGGCATCCTTAATGATCTTATTTCCAGAGCATGGTAAGGGATCCACCTTCAGAGGGCACGTCTACACTGCCCGCGGCTTTCGAAAGAAGATATGCAAATTCGGCATGAATACAAAGGGTTTTTTTTTCCAAAAGAACTGTGTCTAGACTGCTTTTTTTTTTAAATAACTCTTCCGAAAACAGGATCAGAAGAAGATATATACATTTGCGCTGAATTTGCATATCTTCTTTCAAAAGCCACGGGCAGTCTAGACGTGCCCAGAAAGTCTGTCTTCGGTTTTCCCATGTGCCCTGAAAAGGGTTTCTTCTTTGCCTTTCCATAGCATCTCCCATCAGAAGACTCTAACCCACCTAACAACCATTAATCGTTTGAGCCCCACATGCCCTGCTAGGTGGATCAGTATAATTACACCATTTTTCAGACCAGTAAAGTGAGAGGTAAGAGATGTGCACAAGGTCACACAGTGAATTGGTGGCAGGACTGAGAAATAAACCCACTTCTCCCAATTCTGACATCTTTGCTGACAACTCTCCTTCTTTCATGTAGACCCCAGTGTGCCACTCTCTGTGCTCCAAAGACCATTCACAAATGGGGGCTAAAGAAGCTCTCCCTGGCACAATGGAGAGCATTGGGGTACTCAGAGCTAGTCGGACGTAGCCTCCCACTGGTTGAAATATGGAGCAGTCTGGCTTGGTTCCTGCACAGCTGTTCAGCCAAGAGAGGCTAGTGCTGTGGACAAGAGCAAATATGCTCTACACATCCCTGGCAAGGGCAGCGGCACAAACACAGCCCCATCCCAACAGCTGCACTCATGCAACCAGAAAAGGGCATGATTATAGCCAGGGCCATCTCCACACACACCATGCAGCAGGGGGCAATTGTACACAAAATGGCCTCTCAGTGGCTGCCCAGCAGACAGGACTGACTAGAGGAGGGAAAGGGGACACCATTCTCCAAACTCATGGAGGTCCCAAAACTTCTGTAGCATCTCTGCAGATACAGTGAATGGGAATGGGTTGGTTCCCTGCCCACGTGAGGTACCGGGCTCCAGTTTCTCTCCGGGGTGCCAGAGGGATAGTAGTGGAGGTAAGTGGCTAATGCCCCAGCGGAATGCAGTATTGCCAACGCTTGAGATTTTATTGGAGGTGACAGCTATTCAGAGGGGACTGGAGCTCTCCTTGTGTGGGTACAAGATAATACTGGGGCTAGAAGTCCAGAGATAGTCCTCTGCCATTGCCATGCTCATAGGAGGGGAGGGCCACTCTAGACGGCTCCTCTGCTCCTCCCCGCACTCCTCTCCTTTCTGCAGCTGCCTGGGAAGCGGCGGGAAGAGACTTGGTTCTCCCCCCCACACACACATACTGCAGCCTCCTCCCCTCAGAGGGGTAAGAGCCCCAGTAACAACATATCTGAGGCTGGACTTGGGGCAGCCTCACTGCCTCCCTGATTTTCACAGGTGTTCAACCCCAGCTCTGTCCCTAGACCTTGCCCTCACTCCACTCCTTTCCCCAAAGCCCCCTCCTACATCCTATTCCCATCCCTGTCCCGCCTTTCCTGCCTCCCTCCAGCCCTTCTCCCCCAGCATCTCTTGCCTGCCGCTGAACAGCTGAACCCAGGCAGGAGGGAGGTGCTGGGTGGGAAGGGGAGGAACTGATCCGCAGCGCTGCTGGTAGGGGCTGAGCACCCACTGTTTGCCCTCTGGGTGCTCCAGGGCTGGAGCCCCCATGGAGTCGACACCTGTGCCTGGGGCCCTGATGGGGGTGAGGAACAGGCTTAATGCCCGGACATGGGTGAGAGTTCCAGCAGCAGGGCCCAAATTCCCATCACCCCTCCCCCTTCTGGTGGAGAGGGCCAGACTGACAGCTGTGCACAAAGTGGGGAGGCCTGGGGAGCTCCAAAGACAAAAATCACAAGGGGGGGGGGGGGGGAAAATTAAAAGCT